GAACAGCTTCTACTGTAAGTGGTTTAAATGCCAATTGTTTTAAAATAAAGTTTTAGGGTATTATATGGCAAATTTGGTTTTCTGCCAAATCCATCCCAGAGTCAGCAATGCAGAATGAGGAGAGTTGCAGCACAGAAAGTTGGAGAAGATGAAGCAGATGGGTCAGAATGTCACAAGGGCCAAACTCCTCAAGAGCCGCAGAAGCATGTGTGTTAGCCTCTGTCACGTGGATGGAAGGAGATGCAGTCCCTGGATTTCTCCCCTGCAAGTGGACCAGTGTGTTCCTGAGATTCACCCTGGGGTCAACTGGGTGAAACAATTGTCCAGAGCCTTCTCATGCCACCACAAGTGCTACTGAGCACATCAGAGCTCTGTCCCCTAAGCCCTTGTCTGGGACGTATTCCTAGGTTGGCTAGTGCACGGTGGTCCTGGTTTCAGATCGAGGCTTCTGAAGCCCATAGATGCAGGCTGGCCATGCTGCTCACATGATGTTCAAAAGCACACTCAGCTCACATGTCTACTGGAGGGGGCAGCCAGACCAGGACCCCTAACCAAGCCCAGTGATGACTTCAATGAAACCACTAAAGAACAAAACAAACCTCTCCACATAGTTCAAGAACGCCAGAAAAGCCTTTTGAGGCACATGTTTCACTTTAGAGACTAGGGAATAACCTCCTGGGTGTGTCTGATACAGAGCTAGAAGTGGAGAATAGCCAGGAGTCAGGGAGCCCTTGGTCTTCCAGGCCATTTCTTTAGCTTCCTAACCAAGAACTTCTCAAGAGAGGAGTGGCTTTGTCCTACTCCAGGCCCCTTACCTCCCCCTCACTCCCAAAGAAGACTGAAATACAGATGTGACCATTTATCACATCAACTAGGTCAGCCCCTCCTCTAGAGGGCTACAAATAGCTCCATGACCCTCACCAACCACCTACGCCACATGTCTGGGGCAAAAACCCAAACTGAGTCTCAGAGAACTGTCTGACCCGGTCACAAAGGGAATGGACATGGATGGAAAACCAAACTGTTTGTGATGTAACAAACCCTCAAGCTTAAATCCCTCTCTCCCTCTTCCTCCCTCCCTCTTTCCCTCTCTCTCCCTCCCTCCCTCCCTCCCTCCCTCCCTCTTTCTGTCTCTCTCTCTCTCTCTCTCTCTCTCTCTCTCTCTCTCTCTGTCTCACACACACACAAAGTTGGCCAATCCCAAGCAAGATACCTGATTGAGGCCTGGAATCTCAGCCCATGCAGGCCTGAGGGAGCCATACCAGCAAGCTCCCACTCCCCAGCCTGTAATAGGAAGCTCCTCCTTCATTTCCACAGGATATCATGCTTCTTTCGGCAGATCTCTCTCTAAGAACCAGAGCCAAAGACCACTTCTTCCAGCGGGCCAGCCCTCCTGTTCTAAGTCACATGGGTCCCACTTGAACATACACGGACACCTGTTCCACACCAGAAAGCACATGTTCTGTGAACAGGCTTGCCATTCTTATCAAATGCTGTAAGCCTTAGTGATGTACACAGAGATGAACCTGTAAGGGCCCTGCTCTTCAGCATTCATGGCCTCTCAGAACCAAAGAGCTGTGCACAGGAACCCTTATGATGTGAGAGACAGGGGACCAGGGCCAAGAGAAAGAGGCAGGGTAGGCTTCCTAGAGGCAGCATTTGTAGCCCGTGGGAAGGCCAAATCCAGCCCACCACCTGCATCATTATGGCGCATGAGGTAAGAATGGATTTTCCACATTTTTAAAGGTTTCATTTAAGTTGTTATATAAGTACTTATATAGTCACCTTGATTTTGCATAAAATATTTATGATCTGATCCTTTAAAAAGGCCTTCCAATCCTTGTTGTAAGACAAATAAAGCCCCAGGATAGCCATTGAGGTCAGCTAACAAATGCTTACTGAGAGCTAAATGTGTGCTGTGCTCTGCAGACATTAATCTTCACAGGACACTTCAAAAGGGAATATTATCTCCACTTTACAGAAAAGGAAACTGAGTCATAGTCAAGTTAGTAACTTGTCCAGAACCTCACAGCCAATGAGTGTCTACCCTAATCCCAAACCTGTCCCCTCAACCACCAGCTCAGCTTCTGGCCAAGTCCCTAGGAGAAGACTTGGGCACACAGACTTAAAGCACAGGCATGTGTGAGAAATACACTCCTGTCTGGCTGCAAAAAAGGGAAGCAGAAACTAGAAATGGGTGCAGTCATGGTGAAAACTGCCAAACAGGGAACTGCTTTACAACCAAGGCATGGTAAGGGTGTGGGTACATGGTAATTTTGCTGTAACACTCTTTATGGTAGCAAAAGATTGGAAATGACCTCGACATCCATCATCAGGAGGTTGGATGATGAAATGTGCAACTTACAGAACAATATGCAACCTTTGAAAAGAAACAAGGGTATTTTATTCCTATCGTACCAGTCAGCTATTGCTGTGTAACAAAAATCACCAGCTCTCAATGGCACACAGTAAGCATTTCTTTCTCAGGTGAGCTGGTTGGTTCCAGAGTACCTCTTGGACTCACATCTGTTCCACTCACTGCTCAGCAACTTGGGTTTACTTGGAAACAATTAAAGCCTCTTAAACCTTTGGCTCAACACTGGCACATGGTCACTTCTTATTCTATTAGCCTAAGCATGGCACATGGGCAGCCCAGAGTCAAGGGACTTTCGCCTTTTGAGAAAGGAACTAAAAAGTTACATGGCAGAAAGTACAGCTAGAAAGAGATAAAGAAGTAGACCATAATTCAAGCAACCTCTTACACTACTATAGAACAGCATCCAGCATGCATCTGAGACACCCAACATAGCTGACACTGTTGCTTAGTCACATGACATACTGCGAAGTTCCCCAAGGGTGACTTCCACAGCTGAGGCAAGTCCTTTAATGTAATCCTCCCATATAACTCAGTGGGGTTGACATCTGTACTGCCTAACACATTGGACACAACACAGAGGACATCTGTGTGATCTATCGCAGCTCCATCAAGGCCTCCTAGTGTAGCCTAAGGAGATGCTGAGAAGAGCGGACTCCAGGCCCTAACCCTGCCCACCCACAGGTTCCCACCCAACTCCAGGCTTCTTCCTAACTGCTATGCCACCTGTTCAGTGCACACCCTCCACGCCCACTGCTGTTTCTCTCCCTTCCACAGGTGCACATCAGGGACCTCCCAGCTGCCCCTCCCCTCCCAGGCTCTCCTCAGTCCCCTCCTTTAAAAAAATAGAAGAATCTTCACAGGCTAAAGTCACACATAGGAGGTTCAGTGAATCAGAGCTATGACGGCTGCCTTTGAGGTAATGGTCCCATCCTGACAGAGAAATGAGTCTATGTCAGGAAAATAATCCTGAATGGACCAGTGGGGAATGGGGTACTGATGGCCGAAAAGGGGGCAGCTTCAGACTTCTGTGTGTCTGTGTGTGTGTGTCCTTCAAAGTTCTTTCTGAAAATGCCACTCCAAGTTTTTAGTAACTTCCAATTCTGAGAATGAAAAACTCAGATAATTCAACCCAATCCTTCCTCTCTGAAGCTACTAAAAAATCTGGACAAAATATGTTTTAAAATATGTTTGAAAGCACTTAAGAATTCACAAGACAGTGAAGAGCTACCAGGCCTAATCTGATGACAGCAAGAAGCCAGAGAGCTTCTGAGGCCAGCACTCAAGACGCCTCAGCCCTGTGGCTTCAATGACCCCAAGAAAGAGCTAAAGCTTTACCAGCCCACAAGGTGAGGAGACCTCCCACACCCAGTGAGTGGAGACCCCAAAAGACCACAGAATCAGGTGTATCCCAAAACGCAGCCCAGCATCACACTTTACACTCAACAGACCTTGTCAGCAGTCTGAGTCCTCTCGATGAGCAGGGGTAAGGGTACATGTCTGCTTACTTTAGGATGTAATATCCCTTCCATTTGGTAGGTGCCTGCAGAAGCTCATTATTGTCGCCTTCTGCTTTTATTTTAGGATGCATGTTAGTCATAGCTATGATCTCTTTGATGGTGAGCTCTTGGTTAGAGACAGCCCCAAATCATTACATCGTGCCTAAGGGAACATGCAAATCCCTTTGCGACAATCAAGTTGGTGACACAGTTTATGTGCTCACATGGCAGCTGAAAAAACATGTCCTGTCTCTGGAAATGCAAATTCGTGAAATGCTCTGCTTATTTTAACCAGCCATGTTGCTAAGCAAAATGTCTAGAATCAAAGAATCCTGAGTTCAAATCTCCTGTTTTGCCACTTACAAGCTGCATAACCCCAGGCAAATGATCCATATTACTGAGTCTCATTTTCCTCATCTATAAAATGGATGGAAATAAAATAATAATAATACCCACAATTCAGAGGGGCCCTGGGGGATGTCAAATATTGGGCCAAGTACCTGGCAACAACTTAGGTGCTTAATAAATGGCTATTGCTAATATTAGGCCATCCTGGATTTTGTAATTTAGAGTAATAAAGAGACAATAATAGTGACATCAGAGTTAACAGGAATAATAGCTACAGCTCCTGCAACAAGCTTGTCATTGAGTCTAGAACAGTCTAGACTCAAAGATTGAACATTCTAAGGGCGGTAGTTAGAGGACCGTGACTGAAAGATGTCAGGCCCAGCACTGCAGTATTTTGGAAATAGAAAACTTGATCTTTGACTCCAGAGGTCCTGAATCAGTTTGGGAGAAAGAAACACACACTCAAGGCTGTGGGCAGCCAGCAGGATCCACAAGAAAAGAAATGATGTTTTCTTCAGGGAGTGAGAGCCAGAGGATAGAGACTACAACAAAGGCTCAAGAAATTCAGAAATGACTAGAGCAGATCAATCAGGAAAAATCTGACTGGGGCACCCATGCCCTGAGAGAATGTGAGCTGCCAAGAACGTCCACACCCCCACATGGCCCAGGCAGCCCCTGCACACGGACACCTGTGGTTGGGCAGCCACGCCAGGGGCCTGTGGTTGCCACAGACAGGTGACAGAACTGGGGCACCAGGGCTCTCCAAGAGCCTCACTTACTCTCTCTGACATCTTCACGGGCCACTGGAATGCTGGGATAATCGCTGGCAGTCTTCTCAGGACTCTTGCTCCTCCTGCCTTTTCTCTTGCTACTTTTAGCTAAAAAAGAGAAAGAAAAATATGCCTTCACTTCTGCACGTCAGAGCCACCTCAGGATGTGAGAACGCACGGTTCTCTCCCGCACAGAGCTGTCCCCGGCCCTGCTCCTCCGCCCCCAAAGATGGTGTCTTGGACTCTGAAGTGTCTCCAGCTAAAGCACAGGGAGCTTGAAAAATAATCACTTGTGATTTAAAAAAAAAAGTGTTTACCTAAAAGTTGTTACTATAACAAGACTGCAAAATGCTTTTGATCCTCCCTGAGCCCAAAGACATTACACATAACTGATGGACTAGAAGTAGAAGCCTGGACTGTAGGTTCCAGAGCTGCCATTTTCCCTCATGCTGGGCTTCTCCCACCTAATCTCTCCAAGGCCCTGGCTTGGGGACCTGGGAGTGATGATGCCACCACCAACTGGGGAGACTCCTTTTCATGGCCTGGGAAGCCTGCCAGGCGCCTGCTGACTCTTGCAGCTTCTCCTCAACACTACAGCTCCCTCTCTGCTCTACCATCACAGGCCTTGCAGCCTTCAGTTCTGCTTCCTTCCCACCAGAACTTTGTATATGCTGTTCCTCCTCTTGGCGCATCCTTCCCTTCACTCTGGAGCTAATTAGCTCCTGTCCCCCTTGCAAATCTCCGTTATGGCTCTCTCCTTAAGCTGGATTTCCTGACCTCCTCTTCACAACTGAATCCTCCTTTAGTGGGCTCTGATAGCACCTGTCCAGGGTCAAGTTGCTTCTAAGCAGAGAAGCAACTCTGCAGGGGGTTGGTTGCATATGATGTACTGGGGAGAAATGGAGGGAGAGAAGCAGGACCAGATCAGGGAAGGAACTAAGCAAGACTGTGGTCTCAGCTTGAGTATGGGCTCAGCTCAGCGCCCGGGAGCTCAGGAATTGCACACAGAACGCTCGTGCCTGAGATAGTTAGTCTCTGGCTACAGACTGATCAACTGGGTAGTGGGAGATACCACCTTCCAACAGCACTTCTCCAAAAAAGGAAAGAACTGTAAGCCAACTGCAGCCCAGATTCCTGGCAACTGGGGGATGGATCACCTGCTGGGAAAGAAGACCTGAGTGCATCACAGCCTTCACTGCAGCTCTGCACACCTGTCCAATGTACATCATGGTGCAGCATAACCAGTGTAAAGTGTCTGCTTTAGAAGTTGGGGATTGCATCCCAGCTCTGCTCACTGCTCTATCACTGTACATAACATGATGCAAGGAGAGGATGAGAGGATGGGTGGATGCATGGATGGATGGATGAACCAAGTCAGCAAATAACCAAATGGATAAAAACCAGAAAAGGGCACGTTTGTGGAGAGAGAGACTTAAAGATTAAGAGGCTATTACTTTAAAGAGACATTAAAATTCAAGTGGAGAACTGGGAATCGGTGGCTCATGACTGTAATTCTAGTTACTTCAGAGGCTAAAATTGGGATTGTGGTTCGAGGCCAATAAAAAAGTAAATAAATGGAAAAAAACATGGGCGTGGTGATACACCCCCATCACTTCAGCTACAGTGGGAAATGTAAGATAAGGATCGAGTCCACGCTGGCCTAGACAAAAAGCAAGACTCTCTCTCCAGAATAACCAGAGCAAAAAGGGCTGGGGACATGGCTCAAGCTGAACAGCACCTGCCTAGCAAGTGTAAAGCCCTGAGTTCAAACTCCAGTACCACCAAAATAAAAAATAAAAAGAAGTTGAAATATCAAAAACAGCTGGTGCTTGTGCCCATGAATGAAACCACTTCTGATCATTTAACAGTCACTCCCTCCCCTGCAAAAAAGAGCACTTATTAAGAAAGCCCTAAATCTTCAAAAAACTCAAGGAGTATTTTGGGAAATTCCCTTTTAGTTACATTCTTTGGCAATGCATGCTGGGAACATCTCTCATTTTTCATGTAAGTTGAAAAATATTACAAAATTAAAGTGTCCACATTAAGGTCTAGAAGTCAATAAACTGGAACTTTCATAAAGCCCAGAAGAGGACTGATGTGGAGACCTGGTCACTTCAACACCTGCTCAGTGCCACCTCAGCACTGGTCCTAATTCTGTGGGTGGAATGTCCTGGCTGGTCACCATCAAAGATGGCCACTTGTGGAAAAGCCTGACTAAGAATCTGCAAAGACCTGGGTTGTTCAGCAATATTGGTAGCCTAAGTGTTGATGCTGGGTCTCATTTGGCAGAAAAATAAGACATGTTACAAAAAAACCAAAACTTTTATAAAATATGTGTGGAAAAAGCCAATGTTCTGGGAAGAATGTTCCATTTCAGCCCATCCTGGAAGTCTGTGCTCACTGCAAGCCTTCTCCCAGCAGGGGCAACCTCCCTGGACCCCCTTCCTGGGACAAATGCAGCAAGTGAGCAGCAAGGAGGTGTCTCAGTTAATGCCCCAACCCGGCAAGGAGTCAAACCAGCCTGCTCAGCTCTGAAAAGTCAATAAAGGCCCATGTGTTCAATGCTCCAGGTGGATCAGCACACATGGAACAGAGAGTCCCCAAAGGGAGTGGCATATAGCCCCACATTCACAGGCATGAGCCCAGTCATCTTTGGTGGGGCAGAGGGAGGCAGTGGTTAGGAGCACCCACCCAAGGGCCTGGCTCCAGCCTGGGGTCCCTGAACCACCAGAGTATCCTGGGTGATCAGCTTCACCTCCCTCCCTCACTCCCTCTTCAGAAGAAGACAACAAAGCCTGTCACACAGGAAGCTGGAGTGATGACACAAAATGACATACGAGGTACTCCAGAATGGCCTGACCTTCAGTCACCCCTGATCAAAAAATGGCTTTTCTCTATCAATCCTATCATCAACCCCACGTCACAAAGTACTATTCCAGTAGCTAACAGCTACTATGCAGAGTGCTTCACCATTTACAAGGCATTCTTGCATAGACTGCAACTTCGACCTTGACAAAGACCCATGTAGGAAAGGAACAGCATTTTACAGATGGGGACAGTAAGGTCCAGAGTAAGGAAGGCAATGCCCAAAATCACTGACAGAGCCAGGAGGTGACAGAGCTGGAGGCTGACTCCAAATCTGAGCCCTCCCCAGCTGGTACAGAGGCCTCTTCCATAGCCCCTTCCTCTATTATAACAAGAAAGGCAACATATGGTCGGTACAGATGAAAGAAGACAGAGAAGTGGAAATAGTGTTCAGAGAAGGAACCAGAACCAAATCAACATCCCTATCTGGGCAGCATGACAAAACAGAATTCCTTAAAAGTAGCACACTGAACTGCCAGTGGCCACATGTTCTATTCTGGTCTATGGTGACAAATATAATTCCTCCGGGTTAATAGAAAACTATTTTCCCCTCTCTATACAAGGAGCTTACAGTAGCAACCCCTCACACCACCCCCACCAACTGAAAACTGACTTGCTTTGCTGCAGCTTTCATTTCCCCCGGAAATTCCAGTCACCAGAGCTCTGCACTCCCTCTGAAGGAGGAACCTGGACCAGCACTCTCATGGCCCTTGCCTATTTCTTGGGAAAGAACCCACTTAGGAGGAAAAAGCCACCAAATGGAGTTCTTGGGGCTCCCCAGAAATGCAACCTAATGGCCTCTCCCCAGAAATGTAGCTTCAAGGGCTCAGCACAGACAATAATTACCACTTTCTAATTTAGCACAAACAGGCAGACCTGCAAAGAACCTCAATGGTGAGAGCCAGGAGGACATCACAGATGGACATGAAAAGTCAAAACAATAGTAGTTTGAAATTCCTGCTCCATGCAGATGTGAGCAGAAAAGGGGCCAGGACATGGGGAAAAACAACTTGTGCCCTTAACCGGTTCTGAGGATGGGCAGCTCCCAGAGCACATAAGAAACAAGAACCCCAGGGGGACCAGCTAAATGATACACTGACTTCCAGTCACTGGTGACCACCGTGGTCTGATGCAAAGGGGAGGCTAAAGAATGGACAGGGGGCACTAGTATAACTAGTGGACAGACCAAAATCAATCCATCCACAATCCCCACCCACCCCTCTCTATTTGTCCCTCTCTGCTGAATCTTCCCTGGGAAACTGGCCACGTCAGCCCCTCCCACTCTGTACCAGCCTTTCACACAGAAAACTTGGTTTTCATCAGATAGGGGCATGGAGTACAGGGGTCAGCTGGTGCCACAGTGCCATTCTCTCTGCATCAGCAGCCGCCCACCTGACTCAACCAGATGGTCCTTGGCCTTTAAGGAGATACCTAGGTAACAGCAACAGATGGGCAGAGCAGGCAAGTACAGGAACTTGCAGGGCTGTGCAGGCTGCCCCTGGTGCCTGCCTGTCTGGGTTCCATTCTGCCTAGCACACAGCCTGAGACAAGAAGGCCTGGATCGCAGACCTGCACCTGGGAGCTGATTTCATGCAGCACTAGTGAAAGGCTAGAAGGGGGGAAAGGAAATGCCAATAACCCACGTGTGTTGCCTGGCAGGACCAACAGGACACAACCTGGCCGGGGACTCAAGAAACAGATGAGAGGTGCCATCGATCTTGCCTCCAGAGCCTGTGAGGTGGATGCTGACCCATTCAGCCCCACACCCCCTCAGGAAGTGTGAGGTATTACTGTCTGAACACCACAGGGAGGAATCAAGGCTTGGAGACGTCATACAAACCATAAATGGTAGAGCCAGACTTGGACCCTAGACATCTCCAAATCCTGAACAAATTTACCTTGAAGCAGGTATTCCACTCAAGTCTGTGCCATCAGAGCCTCAGATGAACATCTGCAGGTGTTCTGCATATGCCAACCATCCCATGACCCCTGATGAGTAGCCAGATGGCTGCCAGCCAAATGGAGACACACCCAGTCAAAGAAACTCTAATTCATGGGGTTCATGACCTCAGAGTGGCAGCTGCAGGGCAGGGATCTGAGGGGATCACAGAGGGCAAAGCCTGTCATTGCTGGCCATGATGAATCTGAGTACTCAGCTCCTCAGTCCCTCAGGGACATCCAGAAGAGGCACCACCTCAAAATCCAGGCTCCAGGGGCCTGGCTGCCTTTGTCCCCACCCTGAA